GTCGTGAAACGGGATGGGTCCCCCGTGAGGATTTTCAAGTTCTGTTGACCAGCCATGTCTGGGACTTGTGAGCCCCAGGCAGGTATGTCTTCAGAAACTTGAACCGAAGCATCCTTGACCGTGACACTGTCAACCGGCGCCTTGCCTCGAGTCACTTGTGCGTAAGAGGGTGTAGCAATGTCTGCACTCCCGACTATCCTCCTGGCCTCGGGGAAAGAGACACCTCGGGTATATTTAACCCGTAATATCTCCCTCTCCTGGCTCCAGGTAGGGCAGTCGCGAGAAGAGGCAGCGTGCTTCCCCTCACAGTTGACACAGCGCAGGTTGGCGATGTCACAGTCATTTTGCTCGGTGTGACCCTCACGGCCACAATACTGGCAGATCGATTTTCGTCTACATCGCTTTTCGTGATGACCGTACTTCTGACAGTTTCGGCATCGCAATGGATTTGGGATGTAGACGGAAACGTTGTACCTCTGGTATCCGATTGTTAGTATTTGGGGTAGTGTTGGCGTTGAAAAAGTGATGATGAAGGTGTTTGTTTTGATTGTATCATTGTTTCTCCTGATCACCATCCGCCTCACCTCAGAGACCGGGACGCTCTCCTCCTGGAAATATGCCAGTATGTCTTCATCGGTGTCATTGCGCAAGGCTGGGCACCTGATTACCCCCTTGCTGCAATTAAGTGATGAGTGTGGTTTCACACTGACACCGATGCCGGCAAAACTGGTTGTTCCGAGTAGGTTCATCGCCTGTTGTTGGCGATAAACCTCTATAAGGAGATCGCCCGATCCCAATGGCTTAACGGATTTCACATCCCCTGCGATTCCCTGGATGCCCTTCCTCAACAGAAGTGGCGACAACGCGGCCGTTGTTTTACCACTCTGTGTGGAGGTCATCACAAGGAATTGCGGGAATTGGGTGTTCTGTGTTGCGTTTTGTGTTGTTTTTGAGCTAGGGTCATCGTTCCTGATTTTGGTATGTCCGTCGTTTTGGTGGTTTTTATCTTTACCCATGTGTATATTTGTTTGTTTCACGATCTATGCCTCCACCCGCCACGGAGCCCAACAAGGGGACACTGGTGTGACGCGGATATCCAGCGCCAAGTGTCGGAGATACATAGAATAGTATACTCGTAAGAATATACATACTATTTGAAAGAGTATACTCTCGCGATTGACCCTGAGCCACCGCCTTCTTGGGAGTATGTAAACCAAGGGCTCGGCGTGACCAGCCGATTGGTGATAGAGGGCCCATATCACCTCTCGTCTACCCAGAGTCCGAAGCCAAAGCAGTATGTTGCAGAATATCGGATCATGTCTCCTTCCTATCAAGAGTTTGACAGTGATTCCGACTCTGCTCAGCTACCAGGATCTTCTTCCCCCAGGAATACGAGATGCAACCCACGGCAAACAGGTTGGCTCAAATTGGAGCTACTGTGAAAGCCTTCTGCTACGATGACGCCCAGCGCGCCACAATCATACCCCCGAAATGATCACATACGCACTGAGCACCAACGTACCCAGCCTCGGGACGTGGACCCAGCTTTCTTGGAGGCCCCACATGGTCGGCTGCACTTTTTGACGTTAAGTGATATTCTCCTCATTTTCGTTGGGTGTTTTGAAAACAGAAAGTACGTAATTGATAGTAGAAAAATAAATAAATACGCAGCATCATATTTTGTTATCCGTGGAAAGGAATTACCTGTAATATCGTCCATTTTGGTATCATTTCAGATAAAGCAACAAAATGGGACTATTGTCAGTGAAAGTTGATTGATTATAAACTCTAACGTAGTATATGACCATGATACATGGCCAAATGTGGATGTTCGACAAACGTCGTTTATGTGCGACATATACTCAATTTATGGTGTTTTTTGTACCCACTGGCAAATATCATGACCCTGGGCCTTATGGAACTTGACAAGATTGTTAAAGCTTTTAACCTATGTTGACCTTTGAGCCCCGACTAGCACTTAAAGTTGACCTTTGACCTCAATACTGTAATTAAGAAAAAGAGTTGCACTGCTGGTCTTCATAACAACCCAAGAGTCATGACTAGTCCACATGGTTCTTAGGATATTTTTGTTTCAATTTTTTAACATATTTGACCCCTGTGACCTTGAAAGTAGGTGTTTAGCACTCCATTCCATCTACCTCCTGGCAAAATATCATGACCCTGGGCCTTATGGAACTTGAGAAGATTGTTAAAGCTTTTTACACATGCTCACCTTTGACCTCCCACTTCCACTTAAAATTAACCTTTAGCCTCACTACTGTAATGAGAAAAAGGTTTGCACTGCTGCATAACATATCAAAGTATCTTGTCTCTGGTCCTTTGAATACTGTTGTTTGAATTTTTTCCACATATTTGACCCCTGTGACCTGTAAAGTAGGTCAAGGTCATTTAAATGAGGAAACTTAATAGCACTCCATCCTATCTACCTATTGGCCAAATATCATGACCCTAACTCCTCCAGTTCTTCAAGAAGTCGTTCAAAAGAAAAAGTTGACGGATGGACGATGGACGTCGCAGTACGTCATAATCTCACATGGCCCTTTGGCCTGGCGAGCTAAAATATGAGTTATGCCAGAGAGACGTTGGATTGCCAATGCAAAGCTTTAGTTGCATGTGCACACACATTCAGTCTTCTTGAAATAATCCCTGTATAAAGCATTTTAAAAAATGTATCCAAAAATTTGTGTTCTATTTCGTATTACTTTTCATTATGCAACCTGTAGGTGAGGTACGATACGGTAGCATTACTTCGTTACGCAACCTTTCATCACACGATGAACAATTTGGCGACATGATGGATATTCCCCATAGACATACGTATCGCTCCCTCCACCACCCAGATATATGCTGCAAATACTTGTACATGTATTATGCTATATTTTAGCTCTCTTAGCAAAGGTCAAAATGAGGTCACAGTGACCTCATTTTAAGACATGACATTGCCTTTCCAAGATATACATGTATGAAATTATATATGCCGTGTATCCATTCTGAAACACGGCAAAACAAAACTCTGGAAACTGTTTTAGTACTAAGGTCAATGTCTAAGTGCAACGGTAGGTCATATTGACCTCGTTTTAGGATGCTCGACACCACCTTCCCATGATGTATTTAAGCACAAAATTTGATGTCCATTAATGAGAAATGCTGTGGAAATCTTTTTTTTTTTGTAGTCGAGGTCAAATTGAGGTCGCAATGAACTGGTTTTAGAACAGGACACACTGCTATCATGGTCAACCTATTTACAAAGTTTTATGTCAATCCATGAAGGAGTGGCTGAGATAACTCGAGAAACCTCATCTTAGTTCTTGGGGTCAAGAAAAGTCAAAAAGTGCAAGAGATCCCAGAGGGATCTTGGCGCCCACCTTTGTACCATCTTCATTAGTTCTTTGTCAGTTCGATCTTTTCTCTTCTTTCCTCTAATCTGTTTGATCGAGTCATGTTAACAGTAAATGCACCTTGAGGTAACTTTTGATCTAAACTTAATACTGATGTGTATGAAAGCCAACCTTCAAAGTGAGTTTGTCATTTCACATATTTACTAGTACAGTACTTAATGTGAAAGAAATAGAATCGATCATTGCAATATGAGAAAGATCTGTTTAGTTCTTCTTTTAATCCATTTTGTTTTTATGATCAGTCTCAAAATATAACATACACAACGAGGGATCAAGGGGAACCTACATTTAAAATTTGAGAAAGATCCCTCCCGTACTTCCCGAGAAATAGCGATAACAAACTTTCACTATCAAAATCCAAGATGGCTGCCTGTCGGCCATGTTGTTTATCCGATCAGTCTCAAAAGTTGCCCTGCACAGCTAAGGACCAAGGGAACCTACATATAAAATTTGAGAAAGATCCCCCTGATTCTTCTTGAGAAATAGCGATAACAAACTTTCACTATCAAAATCCAAGATGGCTGCCTGTCGGCCATGTTGTTTATCCGATCAGTCTTAAAAGTTGCCCTGCACAGCTTAGGTCCAAGGGGAACCTACTTATGAAATTTGAGAAAGATCCCTCTAGTACTTCTTGAGAAATAGCGATAACAAACTTTCAATATCAAAATCAAAGATGGCTGCCTGTCGGCCATGTTGTTTATCCGATCAGTCTCAAAAATTGCCCTGCACAGCTAAGGACCAAGGGGAACCTGCATATAAAATTTGAGAAAGATCCCTCTGGTACTTCTTGAGAAAAACCGATAACAAGAATTGTTTATGGACGGACGACGGACGACGGACAACGGACGCAGGGCGATTTGAATAGCCCACCATCAGATGATGGTGGGCTAAAAATCAGCAGTGGCTGAGATATGCTCTGGAACCCATTAACAGTTGTGGTCAAGGTCAAATTCAGGTCAGTGACCTCGTTTTAGAATGTGACATACCACCTTCCCACGATGTACCTATACACAAATGTAGATGCCCATTCATGATGTGCTCTTTTCCACGATTATAGCTGATGCAGTGACACCTTTTACATTAAAACTTTAGTCACTACTACTGGCAAAATTACCAATATGTTTAGTGTAGTCTTTATAGCTGCATTTTCACAACAATCTGTTTACCTTAGGTACAGATAACACAAGCTGTAGTACTAAATGGACCACATGTTTCAGTGAAACATTTGGCTTTCTGTATCAAACTCAATACTAACAAGAGGCCCAATGGGCCTGCATCGCTCACCTGGTATACATCTCACATTTGTAACCTTAAAAGTTATCTTAAATAAACCTAGAGGCAATTTAAAACATTTTCACTCATTATGTTGAACAAATCTTATAGCCCTTTATCTCACGATGCAACTTGCAAAACATCACCTACCTATCCTTTTGTTTATTGGAATTAGGTCATTTAAATGTTAAAACATATTTGAGTAAATGTGACCTCGAAAGTGGGTAAAGGTCATTCAAATGAAAAAGCTTGATAGCCCTTCATTGAAGCATGCTACTAGCTAAATATCAACATTCTCCGACTCATGGTTATTCAGAAGAAGTCATTTAAAGATTTTAAACATATTTCACCATTGTGACCTTGAATATAAGTAAAGGTCATTCATTTGCACAAACTTGGTAGCCCTTCATCCTAGTGTGTTACTGGCCAAATATCATTAGCCTAGGCCTCTTAGTTATTCAGAAGAAGTTGTATTAAGATTTTTCAAGACATTTGACCCCTGTGACCTTGAAAATGGATGAAGGTCATTCATTTGAACAAACTTAGTAGCCCTTCATTCCAGCATGCTACTGGCCAAATATCATCACTCTGGGCATTTTGGTTATTCTTCAAAAGTTGTTTAAAGTTTTTAACATATTTGACCCCTGTGACCTTGAAAATAGGTGAAGGTCATTTATTTGAAGAAAATTGGTAGCCCTTCATCCCAGTTTGCTTCTGGCCAAATATCATCACCCTAGGCCTTTTGGTTATTAAGAAGAAGTTGTTTAAAGTAAAATATTGACGCCGGATGTCGGCCGACGGACGGACGCTGCACCATGGCATAAGCGCACTTGGCCTTTCGGTAAAAATTGACGCTGGATGGGCTTGGTGAGCTAATAACTACAGACCAAGCGGAACCTACATGTAAATGAAATTTGGGAAAAGCGACCACCATACCTTCTAAGAAATCATGCAAACAATAATTGTTTCAGGATGGAACATGAATGGCCAACAGACAAAAGGAAATTTAATGATGGTGGGTGAAAAAGTTGATGTTGATGGATAAAAGGAGGATGGACAGAGGTCGCAACATGGCAATTAAAAACATTAAACAAATTTATCTTTCAGTTATATCAACCAATTTTAATACAGGCGCTATTTTCTTTTTTCATATAAAATATGAGAATACAGAGCTTGTATTAAAAAAACATACGGAATTTACTAAAATTTAAGTTCAAAGTTTTGAAATCAATACATGTACAGTATGGTAAACCAGGATATTGGTGTGGTACACATTTAAGTGAATGGGTCTACTGAGACTGACCTATCTGCAGAAATGTGAATTAGTAACACCTCAAGAGCATTTGTATTGGTTAATATATACAAGTCATCACATTTATATCAAAATGAACCACACAAAAAATGATTTGCATTGTCATAAAGTGGATCTTGCATGAAAATCCATTTCATATGAACTTAAAAGTACTTTTTTAAATTTAGCAAGTCTTTGGCGAACTCATCTATATTATAATTGTGCTCGCCTCATATATCCCATATAAAATGAAGACAAATATAAGATTCTGTTCATCACATAGCCAAGATTTGTTGTAAAAACTTACGACATGAATAGAACACTTTCTCATACATATACTGACTTAAATTATAATACATAAACATTTCAACTCCAAGTCTGTTTCTTTTAATTTAAATGTGCTTCTTAGTGCGATTTCACCACTGTCTTTGATTTTTCCTTGGTCAGGAATAAGTGTGGTATGCCTAGATAGGCTTTAAGACTTAATATGAGAATTAGGAATCAAGGAACATGGTAATCAATTATCACTTATTGTTCAATAGCTATTGATCACTTCTCATTAATTCAATGCAAAAAAAAAAAAACCCACGAATAATACTCGTTATACATTCAAGTACATTCAATGACAGATAAATAATTCAAACTTTTTAAGGAACCCTGTCCCACTGCCCTGTGGTTTTTCCTGTATACAGTAACCTCCCCTTAATTTCTGTTTAGATATATACCTGCTGTAGCACAGTTCGGCCAGAACACTTCCACAGACCAGGTAGCTCAATCGGATAGAGGGACAGTATAAAAATCTGAGGTCCAGGGTTTGAATCCCATTCTAGACCTGCTATACTCAGTACACTGTTGTTGATTATATTTTGTTCATTTCACCTTTATTATTTCTAATAAAACTCCTGCAAGGTATGTTTTTCTATTTAGAAATGATTTATCAAAGCGATATAGTAACACCGGAAAAGAAGGTTTCCAATACTTTGTCATCTTCACCAGTTAAGGCTTACAAGTTGGTAGACAGATCATACCGGATTGTAACCCCCCCGAGTAGCGAAGATGATACTTAAGTTTGGGCAGTGGTGCGGGGATCCTTAATGCCGACATATTTTACATAGTCTCACTGACCATTGTAATGTGTCAACAGTAATAACAGGATAGCACTAGAACCATGCGAGTACAAGTATTCATTATGCATGACACTAATAAAAGATTAATCACATTCAAAACGTTTACGTTTAAAAGATTTGAATATACAACTGTACGGTGTTCACACACAAAACTAGAAAGCCTCAATCACCACGGTTGAAATCCCAAAAAATACTGGAAATTAAACAAAAATACGAAACATCCCCCACACAAAGCTGGAAGTCTCCTGAATATACAGTGAAATCTACCCATATCAAACACGACAGACCCATATGCCTCTGTTTGGAATAGACTTTCTGATCACAATTACAACTAGATGAAGATTTGGTTAAAAAATGCATTTTAATTAATATTACAATATTTCATGTACATGTAGGCAGGTTTTCCAGTAATATAGGCCCCCAGCCATATATCTTAAATAAGAACCATGAGTTTGGAAATAGGTATTATCAACGATTTACTTCATACAGACAATGTACGTGTTAAATGTGTCGCAAGGTTTAAAGCCTGACTGGTCCCTTTGTAAAGCTACAAATTGTATGAATAAATGAGAGATTTGTATTGTTTACCTGCACAAAAGAGTGATGAAATTGTACACCCTACAAGAAATGGGTGTCAAACATTCCAGGCAAAAACTTGACTGGTAGCTATATAGGGTGTACAATTCTGTCATGCCATTGTGTAGGTAAACAATACAAATCCTTCACTCAGACATAGCTTGACAAAGGACCTGTCAGCCTTGAAACAATGCAGCACATTTAACATGGACATTGACATTTAACATGGACATTGTTTGTGTATGGAATAAAACTTTGATAAAAGAATTACAACCTCATTTGTCAGTGCAAGTAACAGACATTGCTTTTCAACAGCTATTGGCAGAAGGATTATGTAACAACATTGAAAATGACAAAATTTGAACTCTGGCTTTCTTCTTAATGAGGTTGTATTGTATTGTAAATTTGTAATTGGTTTCACCCTGGTCATTTGAGGTCTAAACAAGACAACTTGGATTTTTTTTTATCTTTTATAATTTCTCACAAAAAGCTAATAACCAATTATTTGATTTTGTGCAAAAATGAAAATATCATCAAAGACATAACAATAGATTTGAATATTAAACATAGCAAGCAAGGGAGGTAACTTAAATTTGTATCATATTCTTAAGTAACATTTTAACATAAAAATTGCATGTAATTACATGTACTGTAAAGGTTTAGTTCATAAAATATCCAAATGAATTAAAAAATGAACAACCCTTTCATTTTAATTAATGCGCTATTTCCCATAACAGTGTTAATCTCGCATGAAAAAACTTAAAATTTGAATCCACATAGATACATTTTTTCTCAATTCTATTGTTCCACATACACGCCCAAAATGAAAAGAAAATCTAAAATGTATGGTTTAAAATATCCTCTCAAAACAGTAGCTTTCTTCGATTTCAATCAATGTACAGTTACTTACGTGAAAACACTTCAGCATCGGATTTGCTCTAAAAATGCTATGCAGTCAATCATCCAATCTACTTATACTCACGACTGTTTGGACAAGAAGAACCAACACAATGGATAATTTTTTGTTCTATTGACCAGATATTTGAAATCGTGACTGACTGCCTAGGAAATTTGCGAAATTTTATGGATCTCGTGATATGTACCAAATTTAGATTGATCAGTATTGGCTTTTCATTTTTATAAAGCTTATCACAATCCCAAAGTTTAATGATATTAAGTATTATATTATTTTCTTCTGGCAATATTATCCTGCAACTTCCCTTAATGTCATCTTCAAACATTGACAGAACCTCAGAAGCATGCAACCCTAATGCAACTGGCCAAAAGTGCCTTTGAACAATGTGTTGGTAATTATAATATATCACAGGAGTTTTATCCTGAAATTGGAACTTCTGCCACCCCACCCAGACTCCCCTTGCTATGATCATTTCAACATTTCCAAATTCACTAAAGCCCTCTCCTCCAAATGAATAACATTTTGTCCTCATGCAGCTGATTTTCCCAGGTGTTTTTTCTTAGTTCTTCACTAGGTGTTACTTAATTAGGAAGAAATTTGAAAAAATCAACCCAAATTAGATGAATCAATCAGAGTGACAAAAGGAATACCACAAAAATCAGTTAAACAGACTATTTTGGTACAAAACTTCAACAATTTTCAGAACTTTGTCATTACTTCCTTATTGCCATTTTAATTTCACTGTGAAGTAATAATGAAAAACTCAGTGAAACTAATGTTTGGTAATTAGGACCTTCTTGGTGAGACATGTTTAATCCTGGACCCTTTCTCACATGACCTTGACCTTGACCTTTTCCTTTTCCTGAGTGGAAGTCTATGTTCCAGGCTCCTACTGGGCTTATCTTCGATCCTGTTCCTAAAATCAGTCCCATCAATGTTTCCAATACCACCATGTCTTGGTACCTTCACAGGACTTGTACCAGTTACTGTGTGTGAATTTCTTTCCCGCGATCTATTTTGAAGAACTTTCACTGCTGTTTGTAAATGTTTTCTACGGTACATTTCATCTCGTGGTGACCTTCCCTTTCTTGGAGAGGGCCTGGGTGAAATTAATGGGCGCTCAGATGAACGCTTGTCACTTCTGTTACCGTGATGCTTTGATTTACCGATGTTCTGAGGTCTACCATGTTTGTCACTTTTATTCACATTTTTTCCATGAGATAACATTGCTCCCACACGAGAAGATTTTTTTCCTGATTTGATGCCATATGGAATTGTCTCCACTTTTTGCTCAGAGTCTGTAAGAATTTCACCCTCCTCCAAAGATTCTTCGTTTATAACACACTTCTTAGAAAAGTTTGTTGGACAATTATGGAATCTGTCGTCCAAACTGTCAGTAAAATTGTCACTGGCATTGTCGTTGTAGATTTCTGGTGGATTCAGAAGACATTGATCTGGACTCTTAATTGCATTGTTACAAACAGTTTGTGCTTTTGGCTCAACATGTGCGTAACTTCCTACACCCTCCCTTGGCTCAACATGTGCGTAACTTCCTACACCCTCCCTTGGCTCAACATGTGCGTAACTTCCTACACCCTCCCTTGGCTCAACATGTGTGTAACTTCCTACACCCTCCCTTGGCTCAACATGTGCGTAACTTCCTACATCTTCCCCATCGGATATTGTTTCTGGATTTTTACAAAGTTCAAACGTGTAATTGGATTCCAAGGCATAACAACAGTCATCACTTTCCTTTTCGTCCCCACTGGTATCAGAGTCAGAATAGGAGGAACAGTCTTCATTGTCAGATCTCTCTTGAACACCTGGTTCCTTCACTCTCTCTATGTCAAGAATATCAACTTTTTCACGAAATATCTTCGCAACTTCTTGCCAAGTCCTTACACGAGCACATTTCTCTGGTTCAGAAACATCTGATAAAAAATCATCAGAACAGCTATTGGAACTATCAGTGACACGGATTTCCATGTCCTCTTCATCAGAATCAATACGAGTAATATTAACAATATTATGTTGAGAAGTTTCACACACTCTGGTGGACCATTTCTTGGCCAGTACTGGATTAAGTCTGTCCCTATCCTCGCTGTCGTCACTTAAATGTCCTTCACCACCTTGGTCAGTATGGCTTATTGTTATATTTTCTGCACCCTGGAACGACGGATTGTCTACACCTGCTGATTTAGGTTCATCATACAATTCCATTGTATCAGTCATCTTATGTGAACCTTCTGCACAAAATATGGTTTCAGATGTCACTGTACGCAATATTTTTGGACTCTCATACTTGTGTTCTAAATTTCTGGCCGTTTTACGCATTGCTTTCTTTTCAGATGTCTTTTCGTGTTTTGAAGAAAGAGTCTTTTTTGAACTCTCCCGCTGGCTTTTCTGATGATTTTGATTTACCTTAGACACCCCTTCATCCTCAGTCTGATCTTCCCTGGTTTTCCCTTCCTGATCATGTTGATTACTTTTCAGTGTCCTTTTTTTCTCACTAAAATGATCTTGAGATGACCTTTGATGTACACTCAGCTGTTCTTTAAATTTCTTTTCTTTGTCCTTGTTAATCCTTTCCTTATGACATAGATGGTCCCTAGACAATCTTTCCCTATAATTATCACCATGGCGATCTTTGGATGTCCTTTCTGTTTCACCATGACGATCTTTAGATGTCCTTTCTATATCATCATGACAATCCTTATAAGCCCTTTCCATACCAACAGGACGATCTTTAGATGTCCTTTCTGGATCACTATGACCATCCTTGTTTGTCCTTTCTGGATCACTATGACCATCCTTGTTTGTCCTTTCTGTATCACTATGACGATCCTTGTTTGTCCTTTCTGTATCACTATGACGATCCTTGTTTGTCCTTTCTGGATTTCTATGACCATCCTTGTTTGTCCTTTCTGTACCACTATGGCGATCCTTGTTTGTCCTTTCCATATCACTATGGCGATTCTTGTTTGTCCTTTCTGTACCACTATGACGATCCTTGTTTTCCATATCACTATGGCGATCCTTGGAAGTCTTTTCCCTATCACTATGGCGATCCTTGGGTAACCTTTTTCTCTCATGGTCCTTTGATGTCCTTGGACTATCATGGTTCTTTCCCATTCGTTCTGTGTGTTCTTTATGTTTCTTTTGCGCCGACATTTTGTCTTTTCTTTCTCTTTCTTTCAATCTTCTGTCATCAGTGTAATTATGACGAGACCTATAACTGGTTTTAGCACCCAAGTATGTCCCATAAGATTCACTTTTTTTCTGACTGTGATTATCTAAACTGTCTTTTTTATTTGATCTATTGCCGTTGTTTTCCTTTGAATGTAATAACTTGGAACATTCATGGCTAGGATTTCTCTCACTCTGTTTATGATGATCCTTTCTGTCATTTGAAATTTGTCGAGAGACAAGAGAACCAGGGTTCTTCTGCTTCGATGCTGATGTTCTGGCACCCTCCTGCTTAGATCTGCTACATAGAATCTTTTTCTTAGGCGAGATTGATTTCTTGATTTTAGCACTTTCATTTGTACCTTCTTCAATATTTTCCTCCGTTTCAAATTCCATGCTTTCTGATGGTGACACACAAATCATTAGTTCATCGTCCTGTGAATCTTCTGCTCCAGTATTCAATTCAGAAAACTCCTCTGTCAAGTCCTCATCATTTTCAAGCAAAAGTTCATTGTTATTTCCTGATGACTTACCACCTCCCTGCTGATCAGATGATAGTGAGGAACTGTCAGACTCGTATTCATAATCAAGATCCTCTTCATAAATATCCTGGTTTTTATCTGGGGTCTGTAGATCATTTTGTTCTGGTTTTTGAGATCCTATAGGTTTGTGCATTTCAGATCCTGTATGCTCTTCACTCTGTTTTAACATCCCCGAACTGATTTGTTTGGGAGTATGTGATCCATCTTGTTTAGGAGAACAATGCCCAAAACCTTTGTCATTTAGATCTTCAGATTGAATTTCATCTGTACTGCAATGTACTTCTACATCTCCATCAGATCCTGCTTCAGAGGTGTGACTGACAACTGAATTGTTAAGATCATGAGAAGGTTTGTCTTCATGTGACGCATCGGTTTTTATATCAGATGGATGAAAAGTTTCAGAATCTCTGACTCGATCTTTTTCACCGGATTCCTCCGACTCGCTGTCAGAACTCATCTCAAGGTCACTCTCTAGAGTTGAATCACTTTGTACTGATGATGCAGATCTTTTTCTATTCCCTGCTGAATCATCTTCTACAGCTTTATTCAAAAGATTGTCAGCACTGAGTAGCCGGTCTTTTCCTGAATCGTTCAAATCCAACTGCTGTTTGCTGCTTTTAGTGAGACATTCTTTAGACTCTTCCTTGTAATGAAGTAGTATTTTACCACATTCTTCATCGATCACAGATGACGTCTCCTTTTCATCCATTTCAATGTTTAAAGTGTCTAATTTATCTGTTCCAAATGAACCAGTGTCTAGTTTCTCCTTTCCATGTGGCTTAGTATCTAGTTTCTCCATTTCAAAAGACTCTGGGTCTCGTTTCTCCATACTATGTGACTCAGTGTCTAGTTTTTCTGTTTTACACAGCCGGTCTGGTTTCCCTATTCTACACAATCCTGTGTCTAACTTTTCCATTCCACAAAGTTCAGAGTCTAGTTTCTCCATTCCATGTGACTTGCTGTCTACTTTTTCTGATTTGCATGACCATGTGTCTAATTTCTCCATTCTACACAGCTCAGTGTCTAAGTTCTCCTTTTCATGAAGCTCTATGTCTGGTTTCCCCATTCCATTTGACCCTGAACCTAATTTCTCCTTTTCACAAATATCAGTGTTTAATTTCTCCTTTTCACAAATATCAGTGTCTAGTTTCTCCTTTTCACAAATATCAGTGTCTAATTTCTCCTTTTCACAAATATCAGTGTCTAATTTCTCCTTTTCAAGTGTCTTTGTGTTTAGTCCCTCTGTTCCACAGGACCCTGTGTCCAATTCCTCCATTCCACATATCTCAGCTGCTACTTTTTTCTTTCCATGCGATTCTGTGTCTAGTTTTTCCTTTCCACATGATGCTGTGTCTAGTTTTTCGTTTCCACATGACTCTGTGTCTATCTCCAGGGTTGAGTAGTCCCCTGTTGACATTTCAGGCAATCTAGCTGTTGTATTAACAAAATCTCTTTGTGAACCAGTAATATCCCTAGCATGTCCTTCTAAAACCACTGTTTCAGAAATTTGCTGTTCATGTACCACTTCGTTTTGATTATCTATAGAGGTAGAGATATCAACATAATCCATTTTTGATTCACTGTCAGATTTCCTTCTGTTCTTCTCCGACTCACAATGATTATCACAATGCACAGCTACCTCCAAGGTGATAGCTTCAACTTGTGTAACTGATTCATCCATGGCTTTAGCTTCCTTTCTCTCTCTACTTTTCCCAGCAGGTGATGAGGTTATATGTTCACTTTTTATTTTGACTGAGCCTTTTAATCTTACAGTAGTCTGTTTCACATTTCTCGGTGATAAAGGTGACCGTACAATTTTTGTTGACATTGCGATGTCCTCAGTTGAAGTGCAGTTTTGTTTCTCTTTTTCATCATCATTGTCAATATTAAAACTGCAGGATGTTGTTTGTCGATCTGGAACAGACTGCAGTTTATTGACCTCTGGATCAGTTTTAATGATCTTTTTCAATTCATCAATATCCATTTTTAGAGAGTTCTCCAATTTCCTATCCTGTCTTTGACTTTCATGTTCATAGTCTACGTTGACTTGATGTTTTTCATTAGTTTTATCTGCATATGTTGTTGTATCTGTTTGTCTGTTACCTTGTTCTTTTTTCACATCAACCAGCTTTGTTTGAGGTTTTCTGTGAGAAGCAGTTTCTTGTTCATGTTTTTCTTTTTCAGCCAGCTTTTCTTTAGAATGATGCCTTGCCCTTGCGCAAGATTCCATAGGATGAGTTGTCTCCCTTGATTCAACCAATTTCACATTTATGAGACACATTTCTTGAGTTGCTGATTGGATGTGAGTGTCATTGGTACCACCCTCTTCAAGCACACTTGAAGCAGACAATGAGAATTCTCTACTTTTCCTATGTTTCCTGTCCAAAACTGGGGAACCAAGCACTGGCTCAGAAATGTGAACTGTAGACATTTCCTCTGACTTGACGTTTCCGACAGAAAATAAGTGCAACTTCTGTTGCTTATCCTGGTCATTCTTTCTTACTTGTCCAGTTGTTGGTGCATCCTTGAGTTTTCCTCCAGTTTGGATAGCTTCAACAGGTAAGATGGTCTTACTGGAAATGTTTTCTTCATCAGTTTCCTGCAAAGGCAGCTCTGAACTAGTCCTTTCAACACTAGAGGGAACACGATTATCAGCCGATTCCTTTTTGGACTTCTTTGACACTGTAGAGGTCTCATTAGCTCTTTCCAGATAAGATAATGAGGAAGCATTTTTCTTAGACACTGATGTTAAGACATCCTTCACCTTTGGGGAGGAACATTTCTCAAAACTGTTTGTAACTTGGTCTGGTAAAGGTGTTTCCAATGAACTAGTCTTCTTCTCATGTGTAACTGGATAAGAAGGTTTTTCATAATGTAGTTTTTTGCCCGTGTGAATTTGGTCTGAAGCAACCACACCTTGTGAACTGTTTGATTGACTCTTCAATCTTTCCGAGTCCAGACTGGATTTTGTATCAGCTGAAGACTTTCTGTTTTCGTTGACTTGCTTATTACGATCCGATCTTGGTTTTGAAATGGGGGAAAGATGATAAACTTTCTTTTTCAGTTCTTGATCACTCCCTTTTGTATCACAAGATTTTGCCAGAAGACCTACCCGAGGAGAAGAATGTTCTTCAGATGATCTGTTTCCTGATCTATTTCTATTTGTGTGAGAGGGACGGTTGTTATTTTTTGGTGATGAAATATCTCCCAATGATTTCGTCTTCTCTTCAGGAGAATAAGATTTGGAATCCACTTTTAAAATATTACAAGGATTTCTTTTACTATCCAACAAATTGGCTTTCTTGAAATTTTCCTCATCTCTCAATCTTTTCATTTTAAGTTTTTCCCTCAAGTCACAAACTCCACCAGAAGCAGCTATCTTGTTTCTGTTTTCTTCGACAAAGTGAACATTTTCTGATGTAGTTTTTATGCGGTTGTCTTTTGTTTTTGTTTCATCTCTTTTTTCATTCTCCACAGTATTTTTTCTTCTCTTTTCTCGTCTGTCATTCCTTTCAGCTTTTCTTAACTCATTCGCTGAACATTCCCCTTCTTTGTTTCCTTTCTTCTTTTCTCTTTCTGTATTTTGATCATGCTCATCATATGCATGTGTTGACGACTTCCCTCCACTCAACCTGCGTTGAAAGTCTTTCCTACTCTTTTCAAGTATTTTCCTAGCAGCATTCTGTCCACAGTTGTCTGTCCTAGTGGAAGCATTATTGCATTTCGAGGCATTCTCTTCACCATAATTGCCAGTTTTGTCAGACAACTTCCGTTTTTTCTTTATCTTTTCTTCATGGTCATCACTGGAGAGACGTCTTTTGGTCTTTACTTTGTCCACTAAGATTGAGTCACTAGCTTTTTTGGAATGTTCCCAATGATTTCTCTCGTCATCCCTGTTCAACCTTGGATTTGAGGCAGGTGCAATTCTAGTTTGTTTTCTTGGTTCTCTCCTACAAAGAAATGAAAAATAGAAAAAAAAACATTACATTTCCACCACTTATTAAAGGTCTAATAGTGAAAATAAAGTTGATATTTTTGTACTGTCACAAATGATACTTTTTTTTATTTTCACGCTTAACTGACCAATCAGAGAGCAGGGTTTCATGTAAAATAACAATCGCTGGGCATTGTCATTAGTCACCTTACAATAGCCCAGACCTTTTCTTATTGTGACATCATATTACAACACTTTTTGGTCAGAGATGAACTCTCTGTTCACAGCACTAAGCTTCTAATCTTTTTTTTCAATTGAACAGAAAGTAAATGAATAAAAATATGTTCATTTCTGGGAGCAATATTTTTCTTCTGCTCCAGTTTGATTGATGAAGTGAAAAATATGCAAAAGTAGAACACAAAAAGAACTTAAAATTACTTTGAAATTTCAGAAAGATCTGTACATTAGATGTGGGTAACCTTCAACCCATCTTCGGTTTTATTTATCACTTTCAAAATTGACCATGTACAACAGGAATCCTACTTTCAAAATTAAAGATATTTCCAGTACTTCCTGAGAATAAGAGATACAAATTTTAACTATCAAAATCCTAGAAGGCCATCTGGCAGCTATCGTGCTCTCTTCAGTCACAAAATTAAACATGCACAACTAAGGACCAAATATATAAACCTACACAGAATTTCAGAATGATTTTTCCCTCGAGTATTTCTTAAGAAAAAATGATAATAAACTCCCTCCAAAACTTTCTGAAAAAGAGTAGTAACAAACTGTAACTGTCAAAATCCAGGATTGCCACTTGAAAGCCATTTTGTTCCTTATGTAGATCTTAAGACCTAAGGGAACATACATGTATATATTTGAAAAAGAAAAACTAGTCCAATACTTCTTAAGAAACAGCATTAACAGACTTTAACCTCCAAAATCTAATATTCAATTCACAAGGATATTCAGTATCATGTTTTTTAGTCCACAGTATCATCTTATGGTAGGCTATGCATCTTATAATCACCTTTTGTCTGTTTTATTCCGATTGACGAAAAATACAACATGCACATCAAAGGATCAAGTAGAACCTACATATCAATCTGAGAAAGATCTGCTCAGTTCTTCTGAAGACATCAGGCCAAACAAAAAATATTTGGTGATTCCAGTAACCCTACCTACCCTAATCTTTTGTGCCTACCCTAAACGATAGCAAGAATTAATATAGGAGAGAACACATATAGAAGGGAAATAGAACATGATATGATGGGCTTCAAAATCTTATAAACACAACATCCCTTCTCACTTCATTTTAATACACTTATGTTTTCTTGTGAGTTGATTTTTATTCCATATTTTTCATTCATGCAAAAGGACAAGGTATCCATCCTGCTCATGAAAGAAATGTTTTTCATCAAGAAACCAAGAATAAATGTTTTACAAGGCATATTACTGTTTATTACATATTTATTTAAAGTATTAATTGCAAATGCATCTTCAGTTATCCATCAGTACTATAACAAATTAAAATGTAGGAACCATTTTTCTAATTTCCTGATTATACTCAACAATAGTTCTTTAGCTGAAAGTTTACGAAAAACAATTCAATATTTCTTGTATATTCTGGTCACATTCTGTAATTTTCATTGTCAGTTCCGAAACGCACAGCTAAAGGATATTCCATTTAAACATCCATATTTATCCCACTTTTAGACTTATTTGCTTTATAGGGGTACCATCCACAGAATTTAAATTATAATTTCCATAAAGATATTAATAGGCAAGAAGATCAACCATGGATTAATAGAATCTTCCCCTAACTTGAGGGTGTGACAGAGAAATCGCCAACCCGAGGGGTGATGTTTTTTGGTTGTCTAACCAAGGGTCCGAGGGTAAGACAACCAAAAAAATCATCCTGAGGGTTGGAGATTTCTCTGTTACACCCTCAAGGTAGGGGATGATTATTTTTCTCCCATCATATTTTTTCAGCCAAAGCTCCATCGACAGTAGTCTGCCATGTTTGTAAACAAAAACACATGTGGGGTATGCATATCGTCATTCACTTTTGATGACGTCACAATGTTATCGATGACGCATTTTAATGACGTCACAATTGAATCGGCACGAGGCTATCTCCCCCTAGGGGGTGACAAGCTGATCTTTCCTGGCTAAAACAGGAGACAAATCTGTGAAAGGTGGGAGAAATAGAAGTGATGTAATTTGGTAGACTTTTCAACAGAATAACCCTTAATCAACAGGGTTTTAATTCTGAACTTGGCAAGGATTTCAGTACCTTCTTGAGAACATTGATTTGTGGAATGTCCCTAGAAGTATTCATCTGTTTACATTACAAATATACTAATTTACCCTATATACTGTTAAAATTGTGTGCTTGGCTACTGAATGACCCTATTCTGTACAGGTTTCATGCTTGGCTACTTATGTTCTATTGAATAGCCTTAGATTTTGCAAGTCTTGAAAACCTACACAAGCTTTAAAACTCTAGAAATGTGTAAAGAGTTGTTCGACCCTGACCTGTAGAAGTTTTTAAACTACAGATGCGTGTTTGTGACCTTAGCCAGTATGTTTAAGTTTTAAACATACAAACAAATGTGTGTTAAAGAGTTGTACGACCATAGCTTGCAGAACATGTAAAACCTATTCTTACATGTGTTTATACTGCTGTATAGCCCTGTCCTTGCGTTGAAGTTCCAGGCGTGCAGTAAGAAACAAGGTGGAGATGTTCTTCTCTAGGATTTCACAATTCTTGGAGAGCTTCGACTCAGATTTTTGCAGAGTATCCACCTTAGACTCCAACTCTGTGATCTTAAGGACAGCAGCATCATATTTTCTAGACAGCTGTAACAGAAAAATAATTGAGTAAGTACTAAGTACAGCTTTCCCCATACTTTAAATCATGCTTTCATTATAATAGCAACTAATGAACAAACCCAGAAATCAGAGGAGTGTTTAATTTATTCAAATTTATGCATTTTTTTTTTTAATTTCAATTGCAAATTTTAAAGGGGCAAATTGGAAAAAAACACACGCTTTTTCAATTGGGAATTGATCGTTTAAATGGACCCCATATGTACCCGGAGAAAATCCATGCAACCATACTGTTCCAAGTTTTAGTAAACACGTTATACCCAACAAAAGTTATTCTCTGTTGGTCTTTAGCAAATCCACAAAATTATGCATTCCTTGGTTGTTTTTGATAGGAAAACAATATCATTTTTAAATACAAGAGCTATTTTGTGTTATTGCTTACAGTGTTAAATCTCTGTTCATGGTTATAAATAAATAAGACAAGAGGCCCAAGGGCCTTAGCGGTCACCTGAGTTATATTATAGGTACTGGTAGCTTTATTTTATTGTTTAGATGTGAAGTGGAAATCAGCATGTAAACTAAGTGAAATACAATACTTGTCATGTCATCAAAGGATAAGAATTTGAAAATATTGGTGAATGTTCCCTGTGGAGCCACGCCCTAGCCCCTGGGGATGGGGCAGGAATCCCGATTTTACATAGTAATACTCTCATTCACCAAAGATGATTCTGACTAAGTTTGAGTAATTTTCTGCTGAAAATGTATAAAATATACCCAAAAGTGTTATTTCCCTATATAAACTATAGTAAACTTTACCCCCTCCCCAAGGGAGAATGAATAGCTGGGGGGTCCTGAAATTTATAATTTAAGTAAAGCCCCTGGTGATCTTTCTTTCCATGCAGAGAAAATGACTGTAGTACCTCTGAGTCTGAAGAAGAAGATTTTTGAAATATTGGTCAATTTTCCCTTTGGGGCCCCGCCCTGGCCCCAGGGGTTGGTGTAGGAATCTCAATTTTACAATTTAAAACCATCTTCCTCCAAGGATAATTCTCACCAAGTAAAAATAATTTCCTACAGAAAGTTGTCAAAATATACCCAAAAGTGTTATTTCCCTATATAAACTATAGTAAACTTTACCCCCTCCCCAAGGGAGAACGAATAGCTCGGGGGTCCTGAAATTTACAATTTAAG